CTAAATTAATTATATATATTTATTATTTATGTGTGTGTGTGTGTGTATGTATATATATATATATATATACGTAATAAGCAATTCTTGTGCGATATTTCTATTCAATCCCGCAGATAACGATGGCTCTCCTCTTGATACGCTAACGGCTGACATGGCAATGGCGTCAGGGCTGGCGGGGCCCATGCGCAGTGGTTCGCTTAAAGGACCGAGTGGAGCACTGGTCAAAACCCTCTACGACCTAAAAACACGCATCAAGCACCTTCTGGTGAAGGCGTTCGAGAGCGAAACAGATCCAGTCAATACCCAGGTATGTGTTCTGTGTTGTGCTTGTATGCATGTGTTTGTTAATGTGTATATGTGGGTGTATGTGTTCTGTGTTGTGCTTGTATGTATGTAGTTGTTGATGTGTATATATGGGTGTATGTGTTCTGTGTTATGCTTGTATGCATGTATTTTTTGATATGTATATATGTGTGTGTGTGTTCTATGTTTTGCTTGTATGTATGTATTTGTTGATGTATATATGTGTGTGTATGTATACTGTTTTATGCTTGTATGTATGTATTTGTTGATGTATATATATATGTGTGTATGTGTATTGTTTTATGCTTGTATGTATTGTTGATATGTATATGTATGTATGTATTCTGTTCTATGCTTGTATGTCTGTGTTTCTTGATGTTTGCATGTGTGTATGTGTATGCTTCGGTGAAGACACTCTACAACCTCATGACTCGCGTACCCCATCTTCTAGTCAAGGCATCCGAGAGCGAAACAGTCCTGATCAATATACAGTTATTTCTTCCCCGAGCGCCCACTAAGTCTGTGTACATCTCGCTGTGTTGTAGTCTGTGTACATCCCACTGTGTTGAAGTCTGTGTACATCTGTGTACATTTCGTTGTGTTGTAGTCTGTGTACATTTCGTTGTGTTGTAGTCTGTGTACATCTTTGTACATTTAGTTGTGTTGTAGTCTGTGTACATTTCGTTGTGTTGTAGTCTGTGTACATTTCGTTGTGTTGTAGTCTGTATAAGTACTTCGAGGCGCTTCGTCGTCGACATTGACGTCGGCCAGAGAACGTGGTTCAGACACGGCAGGGAATGTTCGGGTGGACGGTCGTATATAGACAGTTGGATGTGTGCACGCTTGTATGCCTATACCAAGGCACTCTCTGGGGCCTAGACTCTCACCTAAGCGTAATATAACTCTGTGAATGCTAAAGCGAGCCCATTCCGACTGCTTCGTCTTTGAACCACCCGCACTGTTTTGTGTAAGGGGCACTCAGCCTTGTTTTCTCTTTGCATCGCATGCATTACTATGTGAATTACTATGTCGATCACTATGTTACTATGTCGATTTCTATGTGAATTACTATGTCGATTACTATGTGACTATGCCGATGGGCCAATCAACCTATTCCACAGTAGACCACTCACGCCACTTTGTCTCTGAACCATTCGCACAAGTCTACCTCTGCTCACTATGCCACTCACCCGTCTTTGGCTTTGCCCCTGTCTTTGTCTTTGACTTTGGACTCCACAGATGCTGTTGTATTCACTCACTATCTTTGTCTTTGTCTCTGCACTCCACAGATACTGTTGTATTCACTCACTGTCTTTGTCTTTGTCTTTGTCTTTACACTCCACAGATGCTGTTGTGTTCACTCACTGTCTTTGTCTTTGTCTTTGTCTTTACACTCCACAGATGCTGTTGTATTCACTCACAGCGTTCGTGTGTGAAGAAGCGCCGCACTCGCCGTCCATTGCACAGCAGGCAGTAAGGAGTAAGTCACACGCTGTTGTTGGTTACAGGTGTTGCGTGGTCTGCGGTCGGGTGTACTTGGTATTGGCATCAGCGTGATAGAGTGATGGATATGTACGCACATACATGAACAGTATATACCTGCACCACCATGACCAACTTCTGGATATGTATCTACATACAGAAGACTCATGCACATGAACAATATATACCACATAAGACTCATGCACATGAACAATATAT